ATAAAAGATAAAATGAAGACCAATTTATGTTTTGAAATTACAAGAATCTGATTTGATACTGTGTGAAAAAGATTTTTTCATGGCACTGACTGCTGATAATAACGAATTTATGCACAGATATGTGGGAAATAAAATATGAGATACTCTCTTTAGAATTATGTGCTCATTTTTGCTGCTGATATATATCAATAACAAGGTTGGCTTTCATTAAAATTATAACAATTCAATCTTATAAAGAAATATCTAATTATTGCCGTGACAACGGCAATAGTATTGAACTCCTTACTTTAGTATGATGACTGTAACTATTAAGTATAAATTGCAGAACATTTTGTGTACGCGGGTTTGTTGCGCATATCTACTGGGCATATTATTACCAAGCTGCAGAAAAAGAAAACAAACATTTTTGCAGTATTACTCACTATATTCAACAGATATTTTAAATATTGGAATTTTTTTATAGTATTTCAACTTGGCACTAATATGGTTTCATGAATTGTCTTGAGATTTATTCTCTCAGTTAAAGCGACATTATAGAATTTATCACACTACTGCTATTTTTTCATAAGTCCTATTAAAACCCATAATTTCATAAAAATGACGAATCATTGATTATCTCGATGCTGTAAGATATGTGAACAGTTCCACTAACAGAGATTCGTTATCTCTCTTTGTTATACGAATCTTTTTTTAATTGTGTGATGTCCTTTCTTTGTCAGAATTGTCCTTTGATGTATTAGTTGTGACGCATTTTGAGCATGCTTTTTGAATAGGATAATAATATTCGATGTGGATACTTAATTAAATCGTTATCAATGGAAATATATATTTATCTCAGTGACGCATTATATTTAATAGTCGTATTTTTAGCTGACCTGATTACCTTTTCTCTGCGTCATCAAATACTTTGTATTAGATGTTAAGCGCCATACCACCCTTGACGGATTGTTCAAAAATGGTCACGTGATTCATTTTCAATTATGAAGCTTTCTAAACACATACACTCTGTACAATTGATCACAAAGTTCCCTTCGTTTATATATTCAAAAAGAAACAAACTGCATCATACAACCGGCTTGCTCAGATAAATTGTTCCTCATATGTGTCTGTTATATTAAGTCATTTCATCCATATTAAACGGTTAACTCTCGTCTTTCACTTAAAATTATATACAATAATAATATATAATTAGGTGATGTGCTAACAGTTCATGGTATGTATGCAATTCTATATACTTTCTTCATGTGTCGTTCTTTTCTGGGTGTTAGCCAGTGTTCACTGTTAATTTGTTTACCTGGATATATGGGCTAAAAGTCCCATGTGTGAATAATATAATATAGCTCTTGTAGATAATGCTTGCTACCCTGCATGTCTTAATTCTGATAAACGCTGATTTTCATGTTGCTAAACTAATACATAAAGATTACCCTTTGTATTGCCAAAATATGACATAGTTAAATAACATCTCAATAACATTGTAACATCTTGTTTCAAATTAGCCTTCAGTCTCCACAGAGCAATGTCTTATATTATACGTGGGTAGAATTGCCAAATAGTTTTGTGACTATTAGACTATTTGAATAAAACATCAACAAAAGTTGAAATTGTTAGATGATGCAGATGGGATCAAGTACTGATTGCATATGTATTATGTTCAATCAGTGAATAATTCAAGTTGCTTTCCTGTTATTAATGTTGACTGAAAATCATTCTCGTTTAACTAAGTCGTCTTGATTGAAATACTCAATTTTCTTGGAGCAGCAATGTGCGTTAGATATTTCTGTAATAATTTAATCAAGCAATTTCATTAAATTCACATTGCACTGATTAGCAATATATTATAGTATAAAACAGAAGCATGAAATTTTATTAAACATCAATTGCACTAATTAGTAACATATTAAGGGTACGCGCACAGAGACAAATCTACACACATAATTCTTAGTACATACATGTTTAGCATAACATCAGTAACTACAACAGAGGAGCCAAAAACAAACATAGATTACAGAGATGACATTTTGTTTAAAAATTTTAACTTGTGCTAAATAAGTGTTAGTGTTTAATGGAAATCTTTGGGCCAAATTTATGTATTGAGAGGGACAATAATGCAGATACTTTGTACTCTCTATCTTCGTAGTTAAAGATGCTTCAAAATGAAGAGTTTTATTTTGCTAAAATAAAATGAGATTTATATATTACAAGGACGTTTAAGAATATTCATGCTTGATGGGGTAAATCAAAGTCTCATGTCATCTAATGTACATCAGAAAAAAGTAAAATTAATAATATATTATGGCCAGTCGTAAATTTTGTTTTAGCTGGGAAAGTTCAAGCGTGACAAAAATAAATAAACAAACGGTAAACTTAGAACATGACACGGGTTTCTGTAGCGGATTTTAAGAACACACATAATTTCTTGATTGCTTTATGTTTAGCAAGGAAATCTCATTTGAATTGAGTTGTAATGACATGCATTTGCATTGTTTTCTAACGTCTATTACACGTTGCGCTAATTTGAAGTAACACTTGAGATAAAAATTACTGGATATGTTATATTTGGAGTGATGACAGTACAAAACAATAAATAAACTTACAGGTGGTGCATCAGAAGATTTTGCTTGCTTCAGTGGCATTAATGTTGTTTTTCAGGAAGATAAACTGGTAGAACTTAACGTTGCAAATGATGATTAACTTATGTTGCTTTTGCTTCTTAATCTTGCGATATAAGCGTCATCTGTGTTGTTTGTTTAAAAGTCCTTCTGAAAGGTCCACTTGTAAGTTCGGCGTATACACGAACTGGTTTTGAAATGCTTTTGCTAGTACACAGAAGAATTTAGTCTACACTGCGATATTTTAGTACTTTCCGGGTAGGAATGTTTTCAACACCGGTAAACCTGGAAAAAGTGTTTTTCCCCAACGAATTGTTGTGATATTCAGTGATCTCCATTAAATTTGAGGTGCGTAATGCATGATAACGATAGAATCAAAATAGAGCACTGTGTGATTTCTTTCAGGCAAAGTTCTAATGGATATAAAATGTTTCAAATCTTTGCATTTTGATAAGATCCTGTAAAATTAACCACAATTTATAATTGAACTGCTGAAAGTCATTTAGATACATGCTGATACAAAGACACAAATCATAATCGCTCAGTGTATAGATCGGAATTTTACTGAATATATCAACATTACGCTTGTTCTTTAAGTGCGACTGTTATTTATTCAGGAGTTATCATCACTTAACGGCAAAGTGTCACTGAATATTTGGAAGCGTAATCAATTTCAACGCAGCTGACAGGTCTACTGTCTTCCGTAGATTTAGAAATGACAAACATATATATGGAAAACATTTCAAAATAATGATTCCTTTAGCGAAACATGTCGTGCCATTAAATAAATTTTGGCAACCATACTCCAAATATATTCCTTGAAAGTGATGCTAACGAACTGTGAGTAATCTCAGAGCTTTAGCTAATAATTCCTACAGCAAACGTTCCATTTAAATATTCGATCTTTTCCAGTTATATTCTCTTGAACGTTTTTAGAAAGTCTAGCAATTTAATGGTAATATGTCATTAAGACACTAATCTCTGATGATTGTGTTGAATATCGGAAAAGAAATATTATTACTGACTGAATCTATGATGATTTCAGAGCTGTCGGAGTAACTGACCCTGTTTGAAAGATAGTTCTGTGTGCCTGCATTTTATAATTAAAGCTTGGCCTAGTCGTATTTAACTGCCCTAGAATCTCGTGGGATCAATATAATGTAGTAAAGGCAGTCAGTAATGCAAAGAGAGCGAACGTAGCACAACAATTTTCTAGCTCATATCTAGTTGTTATTTTATTTGCTCATACATCATTTAGATTTTTTAGTTTGTCAGCATTTAGCTGAAAGGATACTTTTTTTAAACAGAATTCTATAATATAGGAAATAATTAGATGGTAGCGTAATAGGCTTGTCAAATGAAATCAATAGCAGCCTCTAGGTTCAGCAGTCTATACTGTTACTAGTATGTCATGGCTAAAATATCCGTTACTTTTATTATTAATTACTGATGATGTTCCTCGTCAGAGACACGCTGTACTGCTCGTGTGCGAGCTTATGATATTAAACATATCAACATGCATGTTTGCATTTAATCATGGTACTACGATCAACCGATTAAATCTTGCAATATTCGAGTTGCTAGTATGTTCACAATAATATACTCATATTACCTTTTAAACGTGATGTCCTTGCATAACACGAGTGTATATAACTGGATCTGTCTGCAACATGATAGTCAATAATGTAATGTTTGAAATGCCAATGCGAGTTTTGTAGCTTTTCGTACATTCTTTCAAACATATAAATGAGTCAGGTGTTATGTTTTTACATATTGGAAATGCGATAAAATACGTAGAAATGTTGGAAGTTTGCGTTGATTCATTGTGATTGCAAGAGGGTTATGTAGAGTGTTAAGATATTATGTTATGCTACTTCTTAGATATTAATGTTATACGATGTACATTTGTCCTTCTCGACTGAATGAAAATCTTTAAAATGCTAAGTTTAAAATGTGTTTAATTGTTATATCTGTAATTCATTGTCTTCGTAACACTTTTAAAGAAAACCAGAAAAAGAACATTTCCTTTTATGTATGTATTTCTTTTCAAATATTATTTCGACTGTAATGTTTAAAAATTCAATGTCGTTTATATTAAGCGTAAGATACTGCAAGTCTCTAAATTGCTGAGTTTTCATAGTTAAGATGAGACCTCAGATTACGTGGTCCCGTGACGCAAAACCAGCCCGACCTCGAATACAAACAGAAACATGACGAGAGAGACAGACATGAGGAGACAATATTGAGGTTGCACATTCTAAAGCTGAATCTGCCTTGAGATATGCTCATAATTATATGTGTTGAATTGTGTGTTAACAAAGTGTGTAAGATCTGAAAGCTGAAAAGTACAACAAGAATCTGCTTATATTTCATATATGGAATATTAGA